AATAATAATAATAATAATAATAATAATAATAACGGGGTTCTTATATAGCACATTTTACATGGTCTCAATGCGTTTCACAATCATAATCAGTGGAGGACTTTACGGGCTGCGTATTTAGGCACTAGTAGCAGCCGTGCAACTTACAATTAGAGTGATTTGTTAGTAAGTTAGTATTAATGCCTCCTGATTGGGATAGGCTGTTGAACCGGGAGACAATCCCCTACTCTTATACGAATAATTCAACAGGTTCTTTTATGTCCCCCATTTAACTGTAGGTTAGGAAGGGTTGGGAGACAGGGCCTACGGTTTTAAGTCCTTGTCCGAGAAGACTTGAAGGTCTAACCATTTGCAGGTATAATTACAGAGGCAGCACCTTCTCCTCAGTTATTTTAAGACCCTGAATGTTGGTCCGGCCGAGGCTTGAACCACGACCTCCCGCACAACAGACTGACGCTCTTACCAACTGAACTAGCCGGGTGGCGCTTTACAATGTTTATTAGTAAATAATACTGAGTTCAATGTCCGAGACAGGGGAATTGAATATAGAAGTTCAAAATAAAAATATGAGTGAAGGTAAAAAACTTAATAACATTAATCATATCAATTATGATATCCTATGCATGTCGAGATTAGCCAAAAATGTATTCAATGAATTTTCGCTCGTTCATTGATCTCATCATCGCCAACTATTCCGGCCATGCGCCGCTCGCCAAGTCAGCGGATATCATGTATAAAATAAAAACCACAGAAAGCCCAAGCTCTCCCAGGCCCGGACTTATAGAAACAAAACTTTTTGCTACGGTATTCCTGTGCTTTAATAGTATCCTATTACAAACGATGGCAAACGAGAGCTGAGGGTTCAAGCTATATTTTGGTACCAAACATGCCGTGTTTTGCGAATAATTTTCAAGGTTTTTGCTTCACAAAGTGCCTATTCTTGAAGAAGGATCTCACAAATATTCGTCTCAAATCGGAGCTTTTTGAAAGTAAAAAACGAAAAGTATAAATTCGTTCAATCGACCATAGATTCGACATCAGTAATTTAGAATGTGCGTATTTTAAGGATCGACCCCGGCAAATGAGGTAACTAGTTCTGATTTTGAGAAATCCTGTTTATAATATTTGACCTTTTGTGTTTTTTTTGCAATTTAACAAAGCACATATGGCAAGAAGGCTGTTAAAATCTAACTATCGAGACGAAAAGGTTTTTCCAAACAAATTAAAGTATGTTTGGTAAAAATCAAATGCTTTAATGTTATATATTGTTTTTCTACCCCGGCAAGTGGAAAACTGTTTACACAGAAATTTATAAATCGAAAACTATCTTGACTCTCTATACATTTCTTTGTAAAATCTGACTTAACTCGCTTAACGCTTTCAAGCGACACCGCTGCATTTGTACGCGGGCGCATGACCGGAATAGTTGGCGATGCCAATGAAAATAGATTTTTGTGGCTACTGCCCGGTAGAGGCGAAAATAAAATTGTTGTTCTCCTATCGAATTATTGCTTTTTAAAGTTATATCTTACAACACACACAAACACATAAAACAAAACATACATATACGATTGCCAATGTTAGTTTAAGCCCTTAAATTCATAAAATCAATATCAACATTTCGTTTTATATATATAATATATAATATATCATATGTAAATATATGATATATGTTTACATAGAGATTACTTAATGGAAAATGCGCGCGTACGGTTTTTATGCACGAGTTGAGAAGTATCAGAAAACTCACTCGTTCGCTACGCTCACTCGTTCGTTTTCTGATACGCATTAACGAGTGCATAAAAACCGTACAAGCATTTTACATTCTGTAATTTATTTATCTCATAGATACTGAGATTTCAACGATCAAAACTTCTAACAATAAAACTAATATAGTTGTTGGTCTACAGGCCAGGCGACCATATTGACTGATAACCTTATTGACTAAAAACGAACAATCAAAAACTTGGACACTACTGCACTAAGAAAAGGGTTTTAATTAATAAACTGAATTTAATTTTGTTTTATATTACATATAGTTTACAAATTCAAGTCAGAAAGTTTGACAATTGAAATAAATCTGGTCATTTTTTAAGACACAAAAACAGCATGTATGTTTACAGAATGAAATATAAAAATCTTGAAATATTTAAGTTAACTGACAATTTGAATAAAAAAAATGCATACTGTGGCTACCTTAGTGATAGAATTTACTAATCATCAGAATCACTTTCAATTCTTATTCTTTTCCGCTGCTTTGGAGGGTTTTCGTAGAGCGGAGTAAGTGGTGGTGACTGATTTACAGCGTTTATTGTAACTGAAAATTGAATTACGGCCATGAATTACGGCGTTTGAACTGAAACAATGCCATTGCAGCTCGTTGTCCAGAGTTCATGACAGGAGAAACTTCTTGAACATTTGAAGTTGATGTGTTTGTAGTTTGGGTGAATGGAGTGACACTAGTACACGTATTACTAATATTTGTGAGCATATGGGACATTTCCATCTGCTGTCTTGTACTTAGATGACTGTCATTCTCAACACTTTTTAGGTTTTTATGCCCAGACAGTTGAGCAATTTGAGTTGGCGGCACGTTGTTTTCGCTTAGAGTTTGAATCATTGTTTTCCTAGCACTATGGTTGCGAAGCTTATCATTATTCAATCCTGCTTTTCTTGTCATTTCTTTCATGAGACTTCCAAGTTAATTGACGCCGACTGCATTGTTCTTGAACCAGAATTTATCAAGGGACTTTGATTTTATATTGTTGACAGCGATGTAAAATGGAGCATCTGGACTTCTCATCTTTTCAGGTCTTTTCATAGCAAAGGTTTTGTAGACTGCCACTAGATCCCTTTCGCTCCCATCAGTCGAAAACATTTTAGGTGGAAAGAGTCTCACATCGCGTGGGTTCATGCCAGTGCGTGTTTTAGTTTCGCGTTCGTTGAACTACAAGTATTCAGTGCCGCTGTCATTTTTGCACAGTTTTACATCACCCCAGCGCATATTGTGGTGCTCTTCTACTCCTCTTAGGCCAAAATGAAGAGTTATTGAGCCAAACGGTATTCAAAATCGTTTCTGGACTTGATAAACCAAGCTGTCCTTTGTCGTGTAATATCTTAATTTCGTCATCTGTAATGGCGACGGAAGCGTTATGTTTGTTTCCCTTCCCTAGTTTCTTTAGCTGTTTCTGCTTGGAGGATAGTGTTTTTCGCGTTTTTTCAAACACAAGATCATTGATAATGCTGTTTGGATAGGACTTTGATTTAAGATGTCTTTCAAAACTAGACAACATCCCTCATCCCTCGTAGCGACGACGGTTCGTGCTCTTGGCATTCTTTGGTTCGTACACAAACGAAAAACTCACTGAGAAGTTCATTCAGCTCGGCAGGAGGAATGTCGGCTATCTCGCTGCGAGTTTCACCTTTAGTTTGAAGAAACTTGGTTAACAAGGAAACATCTCTTGTCGTCTTTTTCACAGTATTTGTATTCATCTTGTTCTTGAATAAACGACTCTACTGAATTGTCGAGTGACACAAATCTGGAGCTTTCTGCAGCCATTTTCGCTCAAGTTGCAAAGGCGCCAGTTTGTTGACACAGTGAGGCTTCGTCGATCTTGTTTCTGATCGGACGAACGATAACTTTTCACTAGTGAAAATACATCGTTCGCCTTTCTCATTGGCTAAATTCAGCACACGAACGAGAATTTACTAAAGTAGATTTCCGTGTGTAAATCTCAGTATCTATGAGATAAAATTTTTTCACCAACACCGCTAATTCAATTACCCATATATCCTTCATATATCACAATAGTCAGCTACCAACTTACTCAGCTCCATTCCTTTCTTTTCCTTTATATAACAATAACTTCTTATGGCAGTTGCCACATGCGCTTATTGAGCGCCTATTTTTCACTTGCGGAGTTATTAGCAATCCGAAACAGCTTACGCTGTTTCTTCATGTGTGCGAAAAAGAAATGATGCGTCCAATCAAAAGCCACTTTGTTTCTTGGAAAAATCTGATTTTCAAAGTTCGCTAAAAGCGCTGTGGACGCTTTCTTTGTTTAGTATCATAAAAATTACTCGCTTAAGACTAGCTCATTCGTTTTATGTTACTTCATAACTCTTGAAACCGTACGCTCGCAATCGGGCAGAATGAGGAGTCACATCCGGAACATTTATGAGCACAAGAGCGCCCATTCAAATATATTCTACTTGACTACTTTCACTCTTTACAAAGTTAATGTTAGTTCGCCCAGTGACTAGTTTATGCTTAACGAGCGTGTGTGTAAGTAGGCCAATGTGGAAGATCTTTCCGCGAAGTAATCTTTATAAATAAAATCACATTTTACAACACAAAAACTTGTTAATGGTTTTTATTTGTTGGTTTATGGATATGCACAGGACCCTTGGAAATGCGATTCACCAGTGTTTTAGGGACATTTGCAAAATATTTATTGCATCAAAGTTTTTGCGTCTCCGAAATGCTTCGTGGTCTCTTAGCCGTCAGAGAAGTCTAATGGATGGCTGGGTTCGTTGGTGTTGGTTAAAGAACTGGCTTATTCAGTATTTTATTACGATTAACTTACCGAGAAGAGCCGAATAACTTGGTATTTTTATATAATAGTAAATAAGAAGTAATAATTTAATAATAATAATTTAATACTTATATTGCGCGTATTACATAGGAAGATGCTCACACGCGCATTACAAAACTGATTAAAATTAGTAACCTCCTAGAGTAGTATAGGGAATGGGGGTTCCAGCGCAATCTCAACACGGGCAAGACCCGTGTCAAAAATCCACCTACGGAAACAACCCACTCCAAGTGTGGTTGGGNTCCTAGAAATATATATTATGATCTAAACATACCTTGTAGACCCGTTGCATCAACCCCAAAGCAGCGCAACCAGGAGGGCAAGCAACAAACTGGCCATAAGGTAGTGTCTATTGCTCTGCCTACCGGATCACGCCCGCCAGGAATTGCTGCAAGGGGTCAATGGATAATAATAATCATGGGTGTGTATGTATATATATACACTTGATTGCAGAGAGGTTGTAGTATACATTTATATAAATACCTAATTTATTCAGTATATCTAATGATATGCAAAACAGAAAACTCGCTTTATTTATTATTTGTTTCATTCAATGAACATCAAAATATTTTATTCTTGTGTTTTACATCCTACAGATTATAAATCAATTGATTTTGAGGGTTAAAAAAGTAAAATTGCAATATGCATCTCATTAGGTATTTGTATAAATGTATAAATGTATACTACAACGTTTCTGCAATCGAGTGTATATATATAATATGATTATAAAACTTATCTGCAAAATGCTTATTGAATAAATGCGTTTTAAGCAGCTTCTTGAATGATTGCGTGCTACTGGCATTGCGTATTTCTGCTGGGATGGCGTTCCACAGCTTAGGCGCAGCAACTTCAAATGCGCGGTCGTCCAGAGTGGTTAAAGATCTAGTTCAACATAGCGGCATTACAAAATTGTAATTTTAACTTACATTGTCGGCTGCTTAAAGATTTTTGTTTCCTTTTCTATGAGAGTTGAATTTGTAGGTTCAACATTTGACGGCGGGCTATAAACAAGATTTTAAAAGGGAATGAAATATGTGTTATAAGCGGGTGTTGTAAATAAAGCTRGGGCTGAAATAAAAACTGATGTATACCTATAAAAAACATGTGTCATTGTCATGTTCGGAAATGTTTCTTCGCTTTGCTTTACAGAATTTATGACTAATGTAACAAAAGCCTGAAACTAGAAAAAAAAAAAACCATATAAATAAAAGTGTAAAAAAGGTAATTGTTACAAAGGTGAAAATAGCTAGAGAGAAAGAATATTATCTACATAGCTCCAGTCATCTACATATAACTACAATGAATCAAGCTGCAGAGCGCGTCTCAGATACAAACTTTACCAAAAGCAATAGCAAAAGCAAAAGGGAAAGGGAAAGGGAAAGCAAAAAAAGACTACAACAACAACAAACAGGACAACATCAACAAGAGGGAATATCAATAAACATTGAAACAGACAACAAAGATGATAGACAGTTAATTATATATTATCACTCACTCCATCAAAAATATCTTGTGAAAGGGTTTTGCGAAGTTTCGATTCAGTGTCCATTAAATTAATGCTGAAGTTACGGTTGAGAATAACACCAGATGCACGGTAGAAAAGGGTGTGATTATCACCCGTCACCAAACCTGGACAAGAAGAATACCAATTTCAGTTTACTTATATACATGACAAATAAGAACCAGAATGCACTAGGGTTGATGTGATGATGCAATCAGCGATATGTCACGACAATATTCAGATTTAAGACTCTTCAATCGAAAGCGTTCTCTTTTGCGTGTGAAATAGATGTGAATGAGTCTGTGTTCACCTAAAACATTGAAGAGTATAAATGAATGAGAGGATCATTATTTTCGCTATATATATCGAGCAGTGTATTTAGTCTGCTCTGTATATAGTTTATAAGCTCAGACGTCGACAAAGTTTAAGAAGGCATTTAACAGATAGTATCTGATTAATTTGAGAAGAAAACATTTATTTAGCCTTACCAACTGAAAGTAGAATACACCAACACACCAATATCTTGTATGCAAAACGTGAGTGATTCATGGTCAAGAGTAATCTAAAAGAAAAACAAAATAGTACTATACAAATAAAGATTCTACATAATCCACTCCGGTGCGGCACCGGTGCGAAAGGGGGATACTTCTTAGGGGGTACTTTTTAAGCCCCTCCGGATTCGGCAGGATGACGTCATAACTATTAATCAAGACAGGAGAGAATTTTTTCACCTCATTGTATACAGTTTGCGTGACAGTTCCATTTGTTATTCCTAATTTATTCTATGTCTTCAGATTGATTAATTACCAGCTAGATTCGCCTCAGTACAACTTCGATGAGCCGGCTATGCAGATAATTATTAAACTTCACGCATCAAGAATTTTTATTATTATATGGCAAGGTAAATTCACGCGCTATGATTGGTCAATTTGTGGGAAACCTTAATAAATTATTAAAGATAACTGAAAGTCACTGGCATTTAATGTAAAACTTATCAAACAAGCGACAACTCTTTCAAGGCTCAAGGCTCTACACGGCACTAGTTGAGCGATTTGCACGACTAGAAAAACTAGAAAGACTAAAACTAAAACTAGGTGAAACTACGAACTAAAGGGTGGTGAATAGCGGCTAATTCAGTAAATGAAATTAAGATAGTTTTACAAGAAGATGAATTAATGTAAATTTGTTATATTAGTAAGTTAATACAACGACAAGTTTGAACTTATCTGAATCGATCGGTTGATGAAGGCAGTTGTTTATTTCGTTAACGCCGTCGGTTTTATCTAGTTTTCTAGGCTCATCTGCTCATGAAGTATTTCCATATTTCAGDAATATTTCGTCCACACTTGAATTTGAATGCATTTGTGGACAGGAGAGTGGGCAGTATCTTTTTTAAATGAGTCGAAAGTGTGTCTTCATGACTTCAGCCATTGTGCATATGGCGGCCTGCTTCAACACTAAACAGTCAAAACGTTGAAAAATGACAAAAGACTATCCATGTTCAGCGAGCCGTAATTTTTCAAAGCTTTTCATTCATTTCTGAAGAGATTTTCAGTTTTTTCCCCAATAAAAGGCAAGAAAACAAATGGAAGACGGTAGTATTTTTCATTCTTCAGTTGATTGTGAATATCTTGAAGTCTAAAGGAAATTTGAAGTACGACAGTTTTCTTCTCAACTCATGTTGAGTTCTTGAGGTCTTCTTTTGATGCCTTTTTTGCTTTGCATTTACATGTTTTGCAAAATAAAGCCTCACTTTTGTTAACTAGTATTTCAGAAAACTTTAAACTTTAGCTAAATTCATTCAAAGTAAACTAAAACTTCTCTTTTTGAGCAACTCAAACACTACATGACTTTTGGTATATTGAAAGATACTTTATCTCTTAAACTTTCACTGAATTAAAAAAACGTAATAAAATAAGTTCACTTACRACAATTTCATTTCATGAAAAACTACACAATGAAATGCGTATATCTTATATCGATTATATAATTTATCCTAAGATCTCAAGAGAGGGCCAACAGGGCCACTTTTTCATGAGTTTATTCGATTTCAGAAAAGAAGAAAATAACTATTTCGAACACGATGAGGGCCACTAGGGCCACGTTTTTAATTTATGATATAAATGTCGTAAGAACAAACGAAAATTACTATTTTAAAAGGCGATGGTCGGGACAGTCGGGACATTTATATTTTGACTATTCGAAGCTGTCCTTTCACTCACGCCTTTCAATGCTGAATTCGAGACAGTCGAGACATTTCTATGATTGGCTATTCGAAAATGTCCTTTCTCTAACGCCCTTCAAGGCTATAGTCGGGACAGTTGGGACATTTTTAACATGGTCACTACTCCAAATTGTCCTTCCTTCGTGCTTTGAGGTGATAAAAGTAGGGACATGCAGTTGGGAAATTTTAATGGCTCTCTATCCGGATCAAGAGGTCTAGCTCGGAGGTCGTACCCCAGTAAATACTAGTTAGGAGCAGTATTCAATACATCGCATGTTCTTCGGCTGAGTGCCTGCTTAGCCTAATCAGTCCTTCGGTTGAGTGACTGCGTATCACAAACTCTTATTCCATTCATTCTAATACAGCGGTTTGTTTACTTGTTTCGTCGGAGAGATTAGCTCAAGTTCTGAATGAAACAAAATTGTAGGGTTAGCGAATGGCATACACCTAAATCCTTCGGAGCAGAATGAGCAGATCAAGAACGACGCATGAGCAAAATGAGCAGTTCAAGAGCAAAATGTGCAGTTCAAGAGCAGAATGAGCAGATCGAGAGCAACGCATGAGTAAAAAGAGCAGTT